AAATTTTCATTACAGAATCATTGCAAGGAATAATGACAAAGTTGTTTCAGATTATTTCAAAATTTTTTACGCTTTTACACTTACTCAGAATAGCCAAAAAACAAACCGGGGGTTCGCTTTTGGTCACTTTCTTCTATATATTCTATAGATTCTATACATGTTTGAGAAAACGTCCTGTAAGCCAATTTAGCGGTATATAAAGAAAGTTAATTAAAATTTGTCCATCATACCGAAAACACAGGATTCTGCAGCTACACAGGATCTTCACTTTCCTCATATTCCGTTTTCTCTCTATGCAGCACTTGTAATTGAAAAACTTTTGTCGGATAAAGGATAGGGTGGGATATTTTTTGTCTGCCGATACCAATCGTAAAACTTTATTGAGTGCAGAAGCGGAGCGAAAAATGAATTTGTTGCGGCATTGTATGAACGTGAGCAAGCGTGAGTGATCGCATTGCATTTTTCCTCTATTTCTGTGTATATATGAACTGTGTGTGTTTTGAATTTTCCTAGTTTCCATATTTGCCAGTACACTTTCGTAGTCGAATGAACGTTATTTTGTTGACACTTGCGTGCACGCTATTTTTGTAACGTTATGTTATGTTGATAATAAGTACATTATGTGTATTTTGCACATATATTTAAGTAAGTTACAAATATAATAAAATTGACAACAGAATTTATTGTTCGATAAATATAATTGTTTATGTGAAAAAAGCTATGTAAAATTTAAACACTTAACAATTATATTATTTCCACGATGAGAATTTTGCTAATATATAAACGGGAAAAAGTGCAAGTATACCAAAAATTGCAAGTATACCAAAAATTGCAAGTATACCAAAAATTTATTGTTTATTTATGAAATCGTTAATTTTGAACTACAGTGTATTGATCGAGAAAGTTTGCGGTGCGTTGAAAAGTTTGTTTTCTTACGTATCTTGAGTATTGCCATAGAAAGCAATGTGTGTGTGTGTGTACTTATTTTTTCTTTTTTTTTCTGTTCGCCTATTGTTGTCGGAGAGAATCAATTTTATTTTGTCGCTCTTCTCGGAACAATTTCGAGATTGATTTCCGTCTCGCGATGACCTATGGAAAATTACACTTTCGACAAGGTACCATCGAAAATTTTTCGTGGACGAGACGAGTCGATGGACCAGCATGACGCATAAAAATGAAATTCAATAAACGCACGTGTATCGCAGACCGAATTGTATTTCCAGAAAAAGCGTTTTTCCGTCATTGAAAGTTCTCTTTCATGTTTTTCTTTTTATCGTGAGATTCTGAAACATTGCATGATAAGTAATAAATGAGAATTATAATAAAATAGTTAATAATCTTTAAAGTAATGTAAATGTTTTTAATTCAAATGTATTGTGTTATCGAATATTCACTTCATGAAAATATCGTTTACAACTTATATATCTCATTCACTGTCAATATTTCCATTGATTTTGATTATATATAAAATGTAGAATGTGTGATAAAAATTGATAAAGATATACATGTATATGATGGAAATACAAATGTGTGTATGAACAATTTCATATAATTCTACATATAAAAAGAGAGTGTAATATTCATTAAAATAATAATTTCCTTTGAATATCAAATAGCACAAGAAATATATATTCCTGATACAATTCTGCGAATGCAATACAGAAAGATTGAAATATGTTTGGAAAAAAGAAAAAAAAAATAGCTAGCGCCATGTCGCGACGGACACGGAATAATTTATATTCGCTTTTTTCTGTAATCAAACGATATGACATCGTGCCGGAGATCAATATAAGCACTCTGACGATAGAATACTAAATAAGTTATTTATTGAAAATAGACACTGGTTGAAAATCGAATATTGAAGCACACTAACTAAATTGTTATATCAGATGTTTCATATATGCACATATCCATATATGTTTTATATATCCATATCCAAATAAACTTCAAAGACACTGAAGCGTGACAATAAAATGCAATAAATTCACAGTGAGACAAAACTATCTGTGCGCTTACTAGCTCTGAAAATATTGAAAATTGTTAATCATAATCGTGAATTTGGTATCTTTCTTTGCTCCAATCGAGTTGGCAAAAATGTTTAATGATACGCGTGTGCGCTATATAGCAACAACGTTTACCAAACGTTTCTTGCAAAGTTAAAAAAGCTTTTTAAAAAGTTAAAAGATTTTTCATAAGAAAACTATGCAATAACATAAATGTTTATAACACAAATTAGCAACCGACTAAAAATAAGATAATTTCGTCACTCCCTACGTAATAATCCCGTAACTCCAAAACGTAAATTTTAGAAGAGAGCAGTTTAAAAGTTGAAAGCTTCATATAGTTTCTCTAGTTAAGGGATCTTTCGGTTAAAAATTTTTACTTTACTTATGAATATTTTTTTTTTAATATTTGGTGACCATAAAGAACATGACTTTCTAAGTATCACTATGCTATAAGCAAAACTGAAAATCCCGTAGGTGACACTCATGTAATTATACGTAGGGAGTGACAATTTAAGCATTTTTTTGGGGCTTTTTTCTCTTTCTCGTTTAATTATATTATTACATCAAGAGGCACGGTAGTGCCTATTACAGGCGAAATTCACGTAATTGAGAAGTGGGAAAATTTTCACGGGGCGCAATATTTCAAGAACGACTAAACCGATCACTTTATGATTTTTTTGTTTCTCATGTACTTTTCGTTCATTTAAGTGCGGCGGTGCAATACAACAATGTTTACAATGTAATTCAGCATATCTTGACTTTCAAAGCCGAAATTCCTAATTATCTTCCAATTATAACGAAGAAGAGAAGGAGGATGTACATTGACCTGTTAATTCGCTACAGCTATTCGCGATTGTCAAATATGTTATGAACAATATGATTATTTTCTTTCTAACGTAATTCTTTAAATGTAACTCAATATGGAGAGCAATATGTACAGTAGTATGTGTAGTAATGCAAATATAAACATGAAAATTGTTCGTAGAGTTATATCGTGGCACATGCATGCTTATATGTAAAACTTATTCAGATTTTAAGTACAAAGTTTAATATGGTTTAGAAAACTTTATAGATTTTATTATTGCATGCAGTAAATTCTTTGACGACGTGCGGACAATATACAGAGAAGTGCACCGTATCGAGCCGCGTCAGAGGAAGTATTTCTCTCTCTTCCGGTTGCTCCTACTACCGTATCATACTCCTTCGATCTCGAACCGCTGGCAGAGACCGAAGGAGAACGGCGCGCGGTAAAAGAAGCAGCCGGAAGAGAAATATTCAAGAAATACTTCCCCCGACACGGCACGATGTGGCGCACTCTTCTGTACAATATTATATTACTTTTATATTTTAATATGTTATATATATTTAAGAGTATATATATACAGGGTGTCCCAGAATTGGTTTAACATCTCTCGTAGACAGGTAGAAGGAATAAAACTGAGGTGAAAAGTCCTGAACCATTTTGCTAGATTCGCAATAGTTACCGAGATTTTAAGTAACAAAAATCCGCGAATAAGCGTGCATCAGGCTGTCTTACGCGCGTAGGACAGCCCGGCGCGCTTCACACAATTACATTTTAATATGTATATGTTATAGTATATGCTGTTATATTNGTAACTATTGCGAATCTAGCAAAATGGTATAGGACTTTTCACCTCAGTTTTATTCCTTCTACCTGTCTACGAGAGATGTTAAACCAATTCTGGGACACCCTGTATATTTACATAAATATATATATAAATATATATACATGTATATAAATTTAGTTAATGTATATTCTTAAAGCTTATACATAGAAAATATTGCTTTTCTTACACAAAAGAATTTTATTACATAGTCTCATTTTATTTTTGTAAAAAAACTTCTGATTATACGAAATTATACATGTATATATTTACATAAATTACTTTTTACATAAATTGTGCGCATATAAGATACATATAAAGACAATTTTAACATATTTTATAATAGTATATCATTATTTAAAGTAGTATTAAAACAACTCATTGTAGCACGACTATAAGTGAGGTTGTAATTTTAATGATAAATACATTTTAAATCAATTCAACAATTTCTCAAAATAATATAAAAGATACCTGAGTCGATATCGTGTGTGTTATATTTGTGGAAATTTAAAATAATCGATTAACAAATTGCATAAAAATGGTTATATAGCCATAATACTGAAGCCGCTGGAAAAATCATTTGATCTTGAAGCTTTGTCGTTGGATATATGTTAAGTAAAATAAATAAAATAGTACTAGTATTGTTGAAATAATTTTCATATTAAAAGTTCAGTGAGCACTGTAGCTATTTCAAAAGTACCGTAATATTATGTACATATTTAAACATTTGTAATAGAATATTTTTTCTAATTACATTTTTTTACAATTGACGTTAATTGTGTAATTCAGAATGTGCATGTATATTACATTCTTATCGTGTAACAATAGTTTTCCACGTTTTCATTTAAGTGAATACTATTGCCGACGGGTAGTTCCGATTCGAAAGCAGCATCGTATCTGAGCATTATATTACCGATGATAAAGTACGGACTTACAGTTTTACGGACTGTCACTGAGATGTGGACATTAAAAAGAAAGCAAGAAACGTAGCTCTTAAGAAATCGAAGAAATGTGTAACTACATCCGCGCGCACTGCTTTAGACTTACGGTTTATTTAACACGGAAATTAAATGCACATTATTATATTAAATTATTCAATCGCGAAAAGGATTAAACATATTAAAATACAGTCTTTATAACATACATACAAAATACATAATTGTAATAAATTTTAGAAAAAGTATAAGAGTGTGACAACACATTTCTGTTACAATATTTCAAATTCATAACGCACGTCAATGTTATACGGCTCGTGTGAAAATATAAATATGATCGCTCAATTACGTCTCTTGTTTACGTGTTACTTTGCTTTCACAGCAATGTCAAATTCGAATTCTCAGTTGCTATTTGACTTCACATAGCTACACTTTGATTTTCTATCTCTCGGCACAAGATTTTCTATAACAGAAATATAGATAATTTTTAAGGAAAGTGCAACAAACATTAAATCGATTACACAGTAACGTTACATTGTGTTTTTTTATCGTCGTGATATAAAGCAGAAATGACATCCACAAGTACTGACATGATGGATGAACCTACAAGTAATGACAGGCAGTATCAATGCATAGTAAGATGTTTTCTCTACTAAAACTATTTTTAAACAAAATATAAATCGATTTTTAAGATCACAGGTGTATGTATATATAATTCTTCTTCAGATGTGTGATGCCGTTTGCGAAAATGAAATATCCATGATACAACATTATTATAATTGTCATACAAAAACTACATACGCGTGTAATAAATGTGAATACACATCTTACTTTCTTCAGTGTCTAAAAAAGCATGTGACAAAAATGCATCTCTATATCGGCAACTATTGCGTGGTAAGTTTTTTAAAATATGTATGAAACCAAGTAGCAAAATAATATATAGCGTGTTAATAATCTTTACTGTCTCATTTTATTAAGATATGTGATAAAGATTTGTATTCACAATACGAATACAAATGTCATGAAAATGTTCACAAATGTATGACGTCAAACATGTTTAGATGTGATATATGTAAGTCTAAAACAAAATATCTCACATTTGGTCATCTGATAGATCATCACAAACAGAAGCATTTTAAATAAATTTTGCGACGTACGTTAGAAAAAAAATGAAATAAAGTTTATAGAATTAATATATTAATAATAACGGTGTGTGTGTAAGAATAGTGAAATTGTAACAATTAGGGAAACTGTGGGGAAATTGTGCGTACTCAAGCACGAATTATTGTAACTTTGTTATTATTAGACTTGAAACATTGTGATTCATCTTCAACACAACCTATACTGTCTACTCTATTATTGTATATAGTTATAAATATTTGATTAAAGTTTAAACACACTTTAATACCATTGAAAATAGTTGAACAGTTCATTTTTACAATTTCCCAATCCACACGGGGTTATTGCGCGCAGTTATTATGTAATATAATATAAATTTGTGCAAATATATAATAAAAGAATAAAATACGGCCATTAAGAGCTACATAACGAATGTACGTGCTAATTACTTTTTAACGTGTAAAGTACTGCAAATTAAAAAGCGAATCAATTCGAAAATCTACATCACATTCTTATTTTATGCATCTCATAAAACAAACGTATTTTTTTCCGCTTATATAATTTAAAATTTAAGTGCAAAGAAAACATTTTGATCGAGAATCGAACTCGCGCTCCGTGCAATCACCTTTCACAAGACACTTGGTCGTAATTATTTTGTAAATTTTATAATTTGTAGAAAAAAAGTTTTAACAATTAAATCCTATTGAAGCTCGATAAGTTACTAAACTAAGAAATATATTTACGGTCATCCGAGCCGATCGCGGGATGTTGTGCGGAAAACTACGTATATATATATATATGAAAGTTGTATATATAAAAAAAAAGTTGTTTCTACGTAAGATGTAAACTAAACACTTTCGGTGTTGATGGAAGTAAAATGAATTTGAATTACGCACACATTTGTCTGTTACTTTGTGTACATTTTATGTTATACGCACAAGTTCTCATTTTAATCAAAAATATTGTTGAGAAACTCGGTTTGTTTTCAGATGTTTCTTTAGAGTATCATAAAAGAAATAAAAAACAAATGAAGTAATGATACTTTTACGTTATATAGGTTATATGGGAAACATGATAGCGGTCTCCTTGTACGTGTGTACTTCTATTTACGAACCCATTTCCATGGTTTACTTGAAGAGAACGCAGTGTTTATAGTTTCCTAACTTTTATAGTAGCGAGCCAACATATGCACGCGCGGTCATTCGTTTTCTTATTCTCTCGACATTCGCGTGTTTACGACCCGAGAGAGATGATTTCAGTAGTAAAAAAAAAAATGCGGACAGTGCTCCCACGAAAAAACACGAGGGATTTTAAGACCGGTCGACATCGAGGAAAGAGAGTCGCGGGGAAACTACCGATTGAGTGAAGAAATATTAATCGCAATCGCGTTCTATGTTAAATGTTTACCAAATACTCGATTAGTAATGTCCGCCGCGTATGTTTGTACATCGATAAACGGAATAGCGAAGCACAGTAGTTACGTGCTTGGTTCTCTCTCAATCTCTCTCTCTCTCTCTCTCTCTCTTTGACAAAGATCGAGAACACATTTACCATCGATCCGAATAAGAGCTTCACTTACTCGGATCAATAGCCGACGTTTGATCATCACAGATTCTAGTTAATGAGCGCTCGAACTAAAACAGTGCAAATTTATATTTGTATGTTTTTTCGTTGATACGTAAATATGTACAAATCGCTTTTTCTTCAATGTTTCGTCTTTCTTCTATAAAAGTTTTCAGCGTTACTGCGCAAGAAAAAGCCGAATTTTTAGATTGCTATAAAAGTAATTAAAAAAAAATTTGTTTACCAGATACATCTTCACCAGATGTATTTGTTCACAAAATAACTTTGTAATCTTATTTATTATCAGTGAAAATAAATTAAACCCCAAAGAAAAAGTTTCTCTCATAAAATACGGTGAATGTCGCAATGGACTTTACATAATATACTTTATATAATATACTTTAAGTATATATACTTGCTACAGTTACACAAAAATTCAGATCGTTTTATCTTCGCTTGCATCATTTGGTTTTACATCATAAAACGTCGTACAAACGAAATCTCGTAAAATGCACGCGCTCGCCAAAGACATTTCCTACATTCGACTGCTGCGTAACGGCGTGTGTAAGTCTGAATGTATTCACGGAATACGACTGTGTGTGTATAACTTTATGTTCCAACTGCAAACACACAGTTTTAAAAAATGTTCCCGGCTCCGCCGTTTTCTTTTCCGTCTTTCTTGTTTTTTCCACATGTGTGTTTATATATGTTTTCATTGCACTTTAATGTATTTTACGTGTTACGTTTATATATGCAATTTAAACAAATACAAACATTCCTCTCCGCTCAATTCGCACACAACTCGTTTAATTTACTTTCCGTCTAAAAAGCATATGAAAACATCTACTTAAAGAACAGCTTTGACATTTATACACGCGAATTTTGACATTACCGTGAAATGAAATCCTAGGGTAATTTTTTTTTCTTTTTTTTTTTTTTTTTTTTTTCATCACGTAGAGAATGCAAATTAAATTCTTCGTTTCATCTTTGTCATGTCGCGTATTTCAACAAAACGCCTGATACAGGAATTCGTTTCGAAATTACGTACGGTTTCGAATGGATATCGAATGGAAACGAGTAATCAACGAACTATCCATGATTTAAGTAGGTCAGTGCAATACGTGCTTTTTTTCATGTGTTGTGTTTTTCTTCCCCTTGTCATGAATCATCCGTTGGATCTCTCTTAACAAAACCGCGTTACATCTAAATCGCAATATATAAACTTCGGTGACAAGTTATTTACCAACTTTGTGCAATCACTAATATTTAATGAAAATGTAAAAGACGTGGGAGAGTCATTAATAGAGAGATAGAGATATAGAAACGCGAAACCCCTAATAAAACATGATGATAATAAAACGGTTACGTGACACAGATTCTCTCGCCACGATTCGCCGAGAGAAACCAAACTTTTGACCGGAACAGTCGCTATATATAACACGATCGTATTATGTACTTCGCTAACTTAACGATAACGTTGCGAGATCTGAAAATTAACCGCGAACATCTGTTGTAACTTATGGCTGCTCGATTTATTATCTTTAGATTTTACGTCTCGTCGCACCCGAGACCGGAATCTCTTTTAGGAGAGTTTCTCACGGGGTGTTGTATCCGTTCTCTCTAAATCAGAAAGTTTTCTCATTTAACATTTATATATTCCGCAGATATTTTACTATATTGCGCACAAATAAATCTTCGAAAAAGTTTAATTTTTCTAACGATTTCATCGAGATGAATAATACAAGAAATTTTTTCATAATTTGTTAAGACAAATGTTACAAACAGTCGCAAGTAGTCGAGTTGCAATTACTCTATAACGTAGTATTATAATTACTCTATAATAATAATTCTACGTGTGTACGGCCGATAAACACGCAGATTGATGGCCGATATACAAATCGATTCATTCCGATCCGTGCGTATCGATCGCGAGACGCTCATTACTGCCTCATACGAGCATTCGACGCGGCAGTAACACGAGCGCCGCACAGTGGAAACGATAATTGACGTTCAACACTATCTTGCAACAAGATAAGAGCGACGCATTTCTGATTAATGGACCCGCTTATAAACGTACTTCGCGTAGCGCGGTACGTTTATATGTAATAATCCCGCGTCGCCGCAACGAAAATAAACAAACTGCGCGGTAAACAACTCAAACTTATATCTTGTTTTGTTCGCAAACTTTCAATTTTTTTTTTGATTGCATTTATAATTAAATTACTTTCAATCAAGTGGAAAAATACACGTGCGAGAAATCGATGTGTTTACCTCGCAATATATTTTGTTGTTATAAACTTTATTATTTTTTACTCGTTTAATCATACTTTATATATTATGTTTTTACTTATATATAACATTATGAAACACATTATGAAACATATTACGTTCCTTTATATAGACATTATAAAACTTTGCGCGTCTTTAATTCTTTTCGCTGTCTTGCGATATAAACAACAAGCTTTTTACGCTTCCACGACAGATTTGTTAATTCTCCAAGTGTCACTTACGGTACTTTACGGATCATTTAATGCTGATAAGTGCGAAGGATTTTAGCCGACGGTGGAAAACCACCGCGAGATCGCGAAAATAAATCTCGCATTGTCTCCCGCACAAGCGACCGCTTTCCAAGAGAGAATATATGTATATAAGAGTCCGTGCGTCTCTTTTTGAATTACGGTGGAATATAAATTGCGTTTTCGTGACCGCGAGAAATTCACACGTTCGTAATAATTGTTTCTGCGTCGAGACGCTCGGAACATTTTGCGCGATGTTCCGCAACGACGATGTCCCCCCGTCGTCGCAATAACGAACACACAACTTCGTTTGTTTCCGTGCAATAAATTCCCATTACGTAAAACACATTATTGCGCAACGTATCTGCCATTTTGTTTTTACCTCAAAAGTTATAACGGTGTATAACCGCACGTTCACCATAGCGCAAACTTTGGTTCCGTGAGTCTCGCGTGTTTTGTCGACAATTTTATTATTTTTTAACGTATTGTTAAAATGTAAATAAATAATGTTTGACATATATTATTGGTAGAGATATAAATAAACTTTTATACAACAAATCAGAATATTGCTTATTTATTTCTCTTTCGTTATATTCGAAATATCAGAAACATTTTTAATTGGGAACTTTTCCGAACGTTTCAAATGTTTCTCTGTATTTGTTTTTTTTTTGCAAACGAGGACAAGTAATAATTAATAATAATTATAAATATATATTTCTTGTTGTTTTGAAACAAAATAACACAAAAAACAAAGTATATACGCGTTTCACGGTTTGGCAAAATAGAAACATTCGTATTTGATTTTAAATGTAAAACAAAAAATCGTACATTTTCGTTATATGATATGCGACATTTTAAAGCGGATGTGCGATACCAGCGTCTCATCGCGCACGATCCACGTTCACCTGCTGTTCGGGATTTTCATCTTTATTGGAGCATCTAATC